CCATCCACACTAATGCCAGCTGATTTTAACAGTTCCGGATGAACGGAAATATTACGAAGAATTTCTATATCTATTGGCAAACTAAAAATTCGCATTCATTAAAAAATTATATATATTTATTAAAATAATTACACATGAAAATATACTTCAAATGTAAAGATAAAAGTACCTTTTAATCAACATATCTTGTTTGCTAATTTCCTTTTCGGAAAGTGTGTTAAATATCTCGTGAACTTCGACAACCGAGCTAAATTTATTATATAATATAAAAAAATAAGAATTCTGAAGCTAAAGTGAAGCATAGGATTTATAGTTAAATAAGTTACACACCGGCAGTGGGAATCAAGATTCGAAAGGGCAACATCCAAAGCTATTAGCTGTACTCTTTGTTCTTGATATAGACGTTCACAAAGTTCAGTATGAATGGCGGCTGCTTTAATGAATGACTTCGAAGATAAAAAGGATTTGGATATGAACATCTAATTTCTAATAACGATAATTTTTATTTGAATTATAGATTTGCATTCTATAGTATATAACTTAGCAGATGATGGTCACCTGTCCTTGAGAATGATTCTTTTGAAACAAATTGGCATAAGTACCGCATTCATCAGAAATATTCAAATTATTTAAGGTAGAAGAATATTGAGCTCTTTCAGTTGCAAGTGTGGTGATCGATGCTGCAAATAATTACAAATTTGATTGAATGGACAACTTCAAAAAAAGATAAAATAAAAAAAAAATAATCTAGTATTATTTTACCAATTATAGAAGGTTCTAAGTTCAATCTTTCATTAAGAGATTCTAGATTGATAGCAGGTTTAGAATCTAGAAGCTCTCTATTGAAAAGAAAGATTCGTTCATTCTTTGTAATTATTATTGAATACGTTAAAATCTTAAGTTAGACAATTGGCACCCAATGAATGGAGAAAACCGCGAGAATGACATAAAAGAATGTTACCTTGATATCTATATCATCTCTAAGTTGGATTCCAGCACTTGTTATTAAGATCTGTGAAGATATTGAGACACCGGACAGTTGTTCAAGCTCTGTTTTAAAAGCACCCAAACTGTAAAAGGAACAAAAAGGAAAAATCAAAAATTTTGTGACAAGCTATTGAGTAGACATGCACATTCATTTTGGGAATAATATTCTTTCACTTCCGCTTGATGCCCAAGACTCATTTAATGCTTGATCAAATGCTACTCTTAATCTCGACTCCTGTATTAAAAAAAAATAAAGAAATAAACCTTATTACCTCTCAAGCCTCTTAGAGACTTTAAGACGTTTTCCCGTTTCCGCACGAAATACTTCCATAATTTAATGATTACTTTTGAAATGCTGATTGTAAAACAAGAAAATGATTTATTTTCAGCACTCCTTGCCACAGTTTGAATAGGAACAAGCTAAGTGGCAAAAATGGAAGAAAGAATGCAGAAAGAGGCAACAAAGAAAGTATAAATACGAAGTCGCATCACTATTTTACGTAATAAGGTTACGTAGCCCCGGAAAACGGAGAATAATCATTACACTATGCAACATAGAATCTTGAGGAATACAAATCATGTGCTATATCGATATGTAATACTAATATAGCGGTGATAATACTGTAATATTTAATCCGATATATATTATGCTTGCGACTTCAATAAGTTGTGAATGAAGTAAAAAAAAAAAAAACAAATTAGTTAGGAGACTGTTATTACGTACTATAATTTTACTGAGTTGCCCTTGTTCCTGTGAAAACAAGGTGATTATAAAGTCTATAGTATAGCAATAGCGATAGTGAAGTTTTTTAATATTACTATTAGCGTTAGTCTCAATATTTTTTTGTGGTTACATTTAATGACGAAAATTTTCAATTTTAGATTAACTCTGTATAGATAAGGTATACATGTATCCAGTCGATCATTACCAAATGAAAAATCATCTGTATATTAATCAGCTGTTTTTTTGCATTTTTGTAAAAGGGAAAACATGTCTGCTATTCGACAAGAACTGTTTCAATCGGCTGTAAAATTTCTTAAAGATTCACAAGTTAAAAGTAAACCTCTTCAGAAACGAATAGCATTTTTAGAATATAAGGGTTTGACATCAGATGAGATTGAAGAAGCGTTAAGGATAGCCAATTATGAAGATATAACTAGTGATGTACAAGAAGTGTTTCTGTCACAACCTAATAAAAATTCATTTTCTGAACAAATAACTTACACTCAATCTTCAATTCCAAGAATTGACTGGAAAGATTATGCAATCGCAGCTGTATTAATTGGTGGCATCGGATATGCCATAACATCGGTTGCAAAGGTGTGCTACAACTTGTAATCGTTCCTTTAAAAATTTTTTTGTATGAAATTAATTTTTTTTGGCTTTGTTTTTACAGAATTACATCATCTCTTTTTGGGGAGCATTAACATCCGATGACCTTGAGCACGACAAACAGTTATTTTCAGATCAATTTACAACCACCATATCAAATTTAGATGTCTTGAAGTTTGATACGCAAATTATCAAAAAGAGCTTAAAAGAACAATCATTTGAAGTTACCAAAATATTAGAGATACTAGATAACTTGTTGAGAGATTTGAAATCTTATGAAGAAAGAGAAGACATAGAATTAGAAAATTTAAAAGAAGATATGAATTCAATACGGAATTTAATTCCAAAAGTAAGTTATGTTGTTTATGACTATGTCTTCTGATTATATCTAAATTATATTATTTACAATAACGCAGCTGCTTGAAGAATCTGAAGATTCTCAAGAAAAATTGTTTACTAGTCTGCAACAAGAACTTAAATTGCTAAAATCACTTGCCATTCGACGAGTTCTTCCCACACAAGCAATCGGTTCGCAAGTAGTTGAACCTTTGGCTTCATCATTATCCATAAATACTAATATGATGTCCGCAAACTCTGGTGCGATCTCTGATCGTTCATCAATTCCGGCATTAAAACTGGGTACGAATTACACATCCATTGTAATAAAGGTTTCGGTAGAATAAAAAAAAAGTTGGTCCGGTTTTATGATGTTTCATCGTAATGAGCTTATTATATATGTGTAAATAATATGATGCTTAGGCAAGATTATTGATATCAAAAGCTTTTATATTCTAAATTTTATACAATTACTTATTTACATTTTTGCAATTTTGAACTTATTTATTTTTACCCATTTAGGTGATCTTTTTAGGTTTTTCGTTTTAAATGCCTTAACTATACCGTCAAAAGAAACGGATGAATAAAATCTCTAATATGACTTCCCATCCTTATGCATAACTTCCTTTTTATAACGCTACAGCAAACATCCTCCCGCACCAGATATCAAAATCACGATTGAAATACAAACATGTTTCTTTGGAATCTATAAGCTTATGTTTGAAGATATGATGTCTCGCATGATTTAATAATTTGTGTAATTTCTTGTAAATTATTTTAATACTTTATAGTGTAATTATTATGATACATAACATTTTTCGTAGAATAATATATATTTTTTTTCTGTTAATCGTACTGTAACTTCGCTTATGATGTAATTTTATTCTATTTATCCTACAAGATTTCAATTGCATTTTACAAAATTATTTATTTTTTCTCAAGGTATTATCTTTGCAAGATTGATTCTGGCACATTAATAAAAAATAAAGAATTCATATTTAGTTTAAAACTGGCTTGTTTAAACCAAAAATTGGTTTAAATCAAAGACAATTATCTTTGTGGTTATTTTTATTTTAAAATTAGATGCTTTATAAGTAGATATATATATCGATATATCATTGACGGAAATAATGTGAACAGATTAGCCACAAATTAGGCTACATATAATGATAAAATAAAATACGTGGCGAATTAATTGCTTTTTAAGTATTTATTAGCTATAAAAAAAATTCAATTTACGTGTTCATATGTATAATAATGCATGGTTTGATATCAATTTGGATTTAAATTCGTAGAGATGGGCGATTTTAATATGTAATAATACTCATGTTTGGAAAAGGTTAATTTTGAAAACACACTAATGCTTGAATTTGTAATAGAACTAAGAATTACTTTTCTTAGTAAAACTAAAATGAATATTTTGAGATCCAACAAATCTCGATACAAGACGTCGGAAACCAATCATATTATAACATAATCATTTAAAATACAAGAATAATTAGGTTGCTGTTTTATAATTACTCAAGAATCTATGATACCTGGCTTTCTATTTTTTGCTTGCCCATATGCAATTCCATTCATGTACTTTTTAAGTTGTTCATCTGCAGATAATAAAATATCATTTAATGTAGTAAGATTCGGTTTGTTGTCTTTTTCTGACCAGATTATAAATTTTCTTTTTAGAAGTGTTTTTCATCTTCACTCTCAATATGCTTATCGAGAGTTGCTAAATCATTTGTGTTAAATTATGTGTTCCAATTATTATTCATGGCTTTTATTAAGCCTAAAAGGTTAATATACTTCAATTCCATTTGAAGAGTTTAAATCTTCAAAACTAAAATCTCCAAAAATGAGGTCAACAAAACTATATATACTATATCTTTTTTTTTTTATTACTATCAATTACTAAACACATTTTTGGAATTTGGTTGTTTTGTAATAATAATTTAGTAACAACTTTGTAATACTGCCTCAGATGTAGATAATAATGAAAAATCAGATCTTGATTTAAAAAATTTTATTAGAGTTTCTTCTAGTATTTTAATAGCCAT